GCAAAGCCTGTTCTTGACTGATACAAATATAACTGTCACTGATGGAGTTACCTGTATGCCTACAACATATATTGCAAGTATTTATAAGGATTTTCCTAGACCTAAATTATTCCTTTATGAGACAATATATTCAAATTCATATTGTATTTCATAAAGTCCCAGTATCCTTTCTAAATCTTTTACTTTTTCTGTAATCCTAGTCTCTGATATTGATTTCTGTGGCTCTGTGTTTTTCCGCCTTGTTAGCACTAAGACTCAGGATCTTTTAAAATAAATTATCAACCGTCTTCACTGCAGTCTTTTCTATAATACTTTCTTTCCTGCATCTGCTCAGATGACACTGGCTATATCAAAAACAGAAATAGTTTTCTGTTCTTTTTAGAGCCTTTTGTTATATAGTCCATTTCTTCATTTTATGTTTGCACAAAATTTCTTTGGGTTTATGTTCCTTATGTACATTAGCTGCAAGGTTAGTATTTTCCAAATAATACAGTTTTGGAAGAGGGCAGAGGAAGGAGTATGACGGGGCAAAAACATTTTTCTTCAGCATACTAAAATCAATTTTTGGTGGCAAGGTTAGACCTTCATATTTAATGAATTAATTAAAATAAGTTGATTTAAAATAAGCATACGAGTTCCAACCATTCATTTATATAAGATGTATTTTTACTGCTCTCTAAAATTAATCCCAAAATTAGTGTTGTACGCATCTTTTATTTTAAAAAACCTAAATATTTTTGCTTACTAAAGTATTGGTGCCATTTCAATTTATTTCCCAGTCTTTTAAAATCTGTATATTGTGCATGATAGAGAGAGCTGCTTAGCTTGCAAATAATTGACTAGAATTGCTTCGAGTAATTCTGCTTTTTTGGCTTTTTGTACCTAATCAGAATTGATGTGACTGAAGTGCAAATCTTCATAATAATCATGCATTTACTGGCAGTGATCGGAGGACCACCTTTTTGGCAATCTATGGTAATTTTGTTCACGTTGTATATCATTTAATTTATATATCTGACTATTCTACTTCTTGTCTTTGTATCATCTGGTTTACATCTGGAAAAGCAGTGCATTTACAACACCACCAGTCTTCATTTGTGAGGAAAAGATGTCATGTTTTCATCCCAAATGAAGATGTGGTCTTGAAGAGCTTGAATGACTTTGATATCTGACAAATGGCAATGATCGTGCATTCTGGGTTTGTTATATTAAAATCAGGTATTCTTCTGCATGCTCTACCACCAAGCAGAAAGATACCAAAACCGTTTTCATATTTAAGTTTACCTTTAGGAATGACCTGTCCAGCCATGCAAACCAGCTGTTCTTGGGTACATTCTTATAGCAGCAATATGAAACAATTTAGGTCAGTTAGATTTGGAGGAGAAATATTTGGAAGTAAGAATGTAATGGCTGATCATTACAAAGTGTGGGGGAAGGGGAAGCGGTTAACCCTTGTGGAAGTTAATTTAAGATTTTTTATTTTTTTTTAATGATTGTGACTCCAGTCCTGCATGCTGGTCTTCATGGTTGGACCAAGGCATTCATACAGATCCCAGTTAACTTTAATTAAGGTTACCATACATTTACGGTTCTGTCCATCTGGATCAATTTGCTGGATTGAAGTTCTAAGGATTTCAGCAACTCAGTTTTGTATCAGCACCAGCTGATAACCTCCTGGGGCACTGCTGCAATATCCACTCAGAGATGCGTGTCATGAATTTCTACCATTACCTTCTGAAGTATCATATCCCAAAAGATTTTATGTCCAACTATTGAACTGGCCTGCCCTTGCTTAATTTATGATATCTGAATTCACTGCCTAAGGTGGGCTGCCAAAAGTCAGTTTAGTTTGACAACAAAATTAAAGCTGTTTAGTGAAAAAATACAGTGAATTAATAAGTGGACATTGACATCAATGATGCTACAAACAAAAGATCCAGAATAGGAGCCTGTCTCAACCAAGGCTTTGTCAGGGTATATTTGCATTCAGAGTTTATAGGCAAATTCCACTAAGTGGCTGATGAAGGCCATAAGGTAAATGCCACCTAAAAGGTGTGATTGATCTCTTTTGGACAGAACTATTTCTCAAAGATCCCAGCTGCCTCTTTAATGTTCTCCCTCTTTCCTTGCATCTCCAGATTCATGGAGTATGAGATCATGACATCATAGAGTAAGATCCCTTTTCCTTCCAAGTAGTTGTCCGCATAACATTCTCACATGGAGGTGGGCTCAGCCCCTGGCTCCAGCTCGAGATTATTTTTACTTTGGCAGTGCTGCCTTGTGTAATCCAGCCCTACTCCTTGAACCCTTCCCCTCTCTCTGCACTTAAGGGGCAAAGGGGTTGAATGCATGTCCTGCCCTCCATCCCTCTCAACCACCTGGCTCTGGCAGTTTTGTTGTTGGATTCCTTTTGCAGCCTGCACTTTGCCTACTTACTTGTTTCACGCTTTTTTTTTCTATGCCTTTCTGTTCCCTTTGCTTTATCTTTTCTCCCTCTTGGAAGAGAGGGTTGCTTTTGTTTTTCTCTTTCTTGGAAGAGAAGACTTGCTTTGGGATACTTTCTTCTCTCCCCTCCCCATATTTAAGGGTCTTTTTATTTTGCTCTATGAGGTGCTGCCATTTTGATGACGAATTTTAGGAGACATCCCCATTTTTCCTTGGCCTCTTTTCCGAAGAAATGCTTATCGTTAAGTAACCAAGCTTCAAAACTGCATCTCTTGCAAGGGGTTGATTCCTGTTTCAAATTTCTATTCCTGTTGCCTCCCTTGACTAGGAGAAAGACATGTTCTTGACAAACATGACATTTGTAAATCAAAGAAGAAACAAAAGTTGAAAATCTTCATGTTCCCGGTAGACAAGTCATTGGGTTCCATGTCTGACCCATGTATGAGGGTCTCCATGTGGTACCAGCTCTTCGGGGCATCTTTCTCGGGTGCTATGCTACTTGGCACCATTGTATTGCTCTAGTCTGATACTGTGGAAGCTCTTACGACAAGGGCTAAAGACAAATTGCTGTCCTCCCAGACCTCTCACAGGTCTTGACCTCACCCTCCATGCTGGTAAAAGGTGAAATCGGATCCCTGAAGGCAGTACAGATCATTCTAGTTTTGAGATCTCCTGGTATTTTAGGATCTACAGGGAACTCATAAAATCTCAGCCCTGTCTGCCTCTGCCTCATTCCTTAGCTTTAAAGGATGCTATCCCAAATGAGTCTGGTGAGAAGGTTCACAGAACAGCATGTTGATTCCCTAACTCCATAGTCTGCTGAAGCCAGGATGATCACCCCGTAAGAGACCCAGCACTATAAAAGACACAAGAAGTCCTCTTCAAAGTCAGTACTATCCATTCTCTAAGCAGCTCAGCACCATGGTTCAGGTCCTACACCTTGTACATGCCAGGTCCCATACCATGCCTATATCATCCAGCACCTTTGGCATTGGTACTGCCAATTATTCACCCACGTCCTCAGGAAGCACTGTCCAGTCTTTCTCTGCAGGGTCCTTTGGCGTCACACTTCAGCGTGGCTTCCTCACATCCTTACTGTCACTGAAAGTGAGGTAAAACCCTGTTCTTATTTTACTTCTTAAGGTGCTTGTCTTCTCACTTCGAAGAAGTTGTCCTTCTCTGCAGAGGGGGAGCCAGTACTCTCCTGGTGCCTTCCAACTCTAGCCTCAGGACTTATCTTCCTTTTTAGGGCCAGCATGACTGTACAGGAGGAGCTACAGCCATCGACTCAGTTCCCACCTACACAGGATACTTCTTTCCAGCTTTCATCCCACTCTCTGGCTTGTCCTGTTGTCTCCCTGTAAGGAACCAAGGGAGTTTTTGTTTTCCTGTGACACTGCGCCTCAACCTGCCCCTTCTGCTGATGAATTCTAAGTATGTCTGGAGAGCTCTTCAGGGGCATGGCTAAAGACCGTCATTTATCCCTGAAGGAAACTATAGAGGGCTTGTGACAATATTTTTGTCAGCCACATGGGGACCATAAGTCATTTCCAGACACTGGGCTTCATGGTAAATCAATCTCTGTAGTTTTACGCATCTCTGTCTTCTACTGTTGTTGCTCTCCATTGTTTTCCAAATTAGTGGTGAATTACAGGTCCTACTTTTTACCAATTTTCACAAAGCCTGTTGCAGTTGCAGCTCCATCCTCTCTGATTCCAGCAGGCGGGTGGATAAGTTTGGCAGATGCCAGCTGCTTTTCCCCACAACACTTGCTCCAGTAATCTATTTCCATCCACACTGTATTGAGCTTTCCTTAGCCACATCCCTCCTTCCATCATGACTTCTCTGCTTAAAGTAGTATGTTATTAAAATGGGAAGGAGTAGTACTAGTCTTCCCCCCCCCCCGACTATCCTACAGCTATGTCTCATAAATACTAGTCTTCCTCCCCCCCCGACTATCCTACAGCTATGTCTCATTCCCTCACGAACATCTCAGGTTTCCCCTCCCGCCTTATTTTTACAGGTAATCTTTGAGACTTACTACTGTGTCCCGTTTCATTATTGCTGGTCTGTCCTTTGGGGTGGGGTCCAGTTTGTATGGGTCTTCCTCTTGTAATCTGCGCTGGCACTATGTTTTCTCTCTGCGCGTGGGATTAGGCTTCTGAGCGTGAGCGTTCTCACCCTCTGGCCAGTTTAACTCCCTGGCTCAGGAAGGATCACCCAAGAATTTCTTTTCTACTAGACACTGGTTTGAGAGGCTGCTAGGTAAGTTTTCAGCTTTCCAAAGTTAGAAGCCACATGTTCTTTTTATCCCTTCCCGTGTGACAGCTCTCAAGTGATATTATAATCAATCAATCAATCAAGGAATTTTGCTAATGGGGCACGTGGAAAAATGTTCTTCCCAAATCTTTAAATTTTAACCAATGCTTACTAATTTATAAGGGAGAGGGAGACCATGTGGGGATTTGGAAAAGTGGATTGTTTCAGTTTATATATGTAAGCGAAGCTTTAAATTAGTAGTACACCTTTTAACCTCTTTTATCTCTACTTTTAAGATTCCAGTTGTGAATATTCAGACGAAAATAATCCCAGCTCTTTGTACTGTAGCAGGAACCATATTCTCCTGTACAAACTACTTTGGTGTGATCTTCACAGGTGGCGTTGGTAAAAATGGATCAACTATAGCAGTGAGTGCTTTATTGTGTTTTTATGAATCTGCTGGTGTGGCTTTTTTTAAGTGTGCTATAGTTCTCATGTCTGTTTATAGAAAAACTGACAGGCTTTCATGTTATTTAGCTTAAAGTCTTTTCCTTGTGAAATGTTAGCCTGGATTGGAAACAAAGGATGAATCTTATCAAATCTAAAATATTGAACTTTGGAACTGAGTGTGTACTTTAAAAGTTTTCCATCCAGGAAGAGCACACACCAACTGCTGAAACTTCCTTAGCCTGACGAAGGGTTTTTGAACCTGAAAGCTTGCTTAATAACTATTCTCCAACCATTTGGGTTGGTCTAATAAAAGATATCAAATTCACCCAAGGAACCTTGTCTACTTTAAAAGGATGCTTGCATAGTAGGTGGGTGATTTTAAAACCACCTGTGGTTTTTATATAATATATATTATTGCCATCCAGAATGTCTTACTGTCAGAAATCCATGAGTTTCTCAAACTAATCTCCTTTGTTGTAACCAAAATAAAACTGATTGGTGTGCTGACACACCTTTGGGGTTTTATTCTTCTGACAAGAATATGAACGTGCTGATGTTCCAGAAGAGATCAGCATCAGGCACTTCTTGACAGGCTGCTTTTTTAATGCATTTTTATGGTGGTACTTTTCTGCGAACCTCTTAAGGGTGTGCTGTGTTTGTTTCTATGCCAGTTGGGAGTTAAACTCATTTTCATTTTATAGTTTGTTTTGCTTTGGAGTATTATCTCATAAAACAAAAACTGTAATATTATATGGAAACACCAGTGTGGGTCTCCTGTCAATTTAAGAACAGAATAATCTCATGCCATATAGACAAGCGTGAGAAAATAAAGGCTGCTGCAGGTGTTGCAGTCTGAAGTGGTTTTTAATTTTCCCCTCTACTATGTGCTTGTCTTGGCTTTTGGTTTTTTGTGGGTGAAACAATATGTGGTTCCATCATGCAGCATACAGCCTGTACGTTGAAGGCACCGACCGCATTTTCAAATGACACGATAATCACATTTCACTTCTGCCAGCAAGTGAGTTCAAACAGGAACAGTTTTATGTACCATGCGTCGCTACTTCCACTCACACACGTGCATTTATTTTTGTGGTACGCAGCTTTTGTTAAACTATTCCTTTTACTCTCCGTCTCCCTGTAGGGAACAAGTGTCCTTTCACCCTTCCTTCATATTGGATCAGTGATCGCATTAGCTGCAATGATCTACAAGAAATCCGCTGTGCAGCTCTTTGAAAAGCATCCCTGCCTGTATATACTTATGTTTGGTTTTGTATCTGCCAAAATAACTAATAAATTGGTGGTAAGTGTCTAAGAGTCATTGATTTTGTCTTGCATAAGCACAGCCACAGACTATCTTTACCATTTTGGAAACATTTACCTTCCCCAATTACTCTGCGTTAATTAACCTTACACTTTTGTGCACTAAAGTGTTTCACAATAGTTTCTTTGTCCCGTATGAGACTGAAGTGGTTCTCACTACCACCAGTGCATGCTCTCCTTGAGAACTTTACATAGCTCATTGTTGTATTAGTGTTAATTCATTGAAAGCACTGAGTCAGGTTGGGTTTTTTTAACACTGCTTTCTTCTTTTTATAGGTTGCACATATGACCAAAAGTGAAATGCATCTGCATGACACAGCATTCATAGGTCCAGCACTTTTGTTCCTGGACCAATATTTTAACAGCTTTATTGATGAGTATATTGTACTTTGGGTTGCCCTGGTAAGTATATTGCCATATTTTCTGTTGCTCAATGACATATTAAAGCATGTGTGCTCTTTCATGCATATTGTTTGCATCCATCGGACACAGATCACTTGAATAGAAAAATGTGGGCTGCACATATTCTTGCTTAAACCAGTTTAAAAAGGACTTGTGCTACCTTAGTTTAAATGTGGTTTGGTTGGTGTTATGCCTTCTGTACTTGTTTTAAGCGGGGTTTTAAAGCTACATTGAATATGCTATATTCTAAGTTTAAAACACACAGAAGAAAAACGTGCTAAGAGATTTTACATGCTGAGGTCCACTGCTATTACAACTCAAACTTTAGGTAACAGGTGGAATTCCTGAAAATCTTATATACTAAGAGCACAATTGATCCCAGGCCATGCTTACAGAAGTAGGCTTAAACAGCACTGTCCTTCCTGATCAGATCATTGAAAACTAACTAAATTAGGTTAAAATCAATCTTCCACTTTCTGGATACACTTCCAAAAGAACACAGTACAGGTGCAGTACATAGGTATGCTCTTTACTCTATTTGGGAATCACAGTAAAGTCACTTAGAATGTGTGTTTTAACTGAGAGCTCAGCATATGAAAAAAGTATAGCGTATATAAATTGCACTGCTGAAAATTGACAGTTTCCATTACAGTGCAACACTCAAGCATATTTTAAAACAGCATTGTGTAAATGTCCCAAAGTCAGATCACAATTCTGCTCTTTAAATAGCTGCTTTCCAGAACTAACAGGACATATTACAAAATCTTTATTCAGTTACTACTACTACATTCCATTAGGGAAAAGCAAATATAATTCTAGGCACAAGGCTGGAATAAGTCTGGTATTTTTAGAAACTTGTAAGAATAAACATTTAGTAAAGGAAAACAAAAAGAGTTTTAAGTAGGAGAGGGGGACTTGGCAGGACTCTTGATGCATCTAGATACTCTGTATAATCATAGAGGATAGAGGAAATGTGGTGCTTTTGTGTACTGTATAGATCTGACACGTCATTTTCCCTTGGCAGATATTTTCCCTCTTTGATTTGCTCCGATACTGTGTCAGCGTGTGCAATCAGATCGCTTCCCATCTGCACATCTATGTATTCAGAATCAAGGCCTCTTCTACACATTCTAATCACCATTAGTGACCGTGCTGTCACCAGGATGAGAAATAAGAAACCGTTGTTTTCTTTGAGAGAGAATATGAACATATTTAGGAGACTAAGGCAAAAGGAGCAGATGAGAACAAATCTAATTTATAATAATCAATGTTGTATAACTTTTCTTTGTTACTGGTATCACTCCTTAACTAGTCTCTGCCTATGAGAGGGTGAATTCCAAGTACACTCCAGTCAAATGTACATGTAGTCAACTCTACTGGTTCAGTTCCCAGGAAAGCATGCAGGGAGTAATGCTTTGTCTTTGTAATTACCTTGAATACAGAATAAACTATCTATGGTGAATGAATACCCAGCAAATGAAATTTCTAATGTAGTATATTTACAAGCTGCAATACAATTTGCTTTATAATTTTAATATTTCATCATCTCTTAGTGAAATACTTGTTTAGTGTCCATTTGAAATGTCTTTACTAAAAAGCTGAGCTTGTAAAACAGAGATATCCCACTAGCTTGCACAGCTGAAATAGTGGTAGACACTTTGAGTCCAGATTGATATGGTTCATTTGCTCACATATTGCTGAGGAAAGCAGTTTGTTGCTTAAGAACAGTATATTTTGGTAGGGTCCTGTAAGTGGGTGGAGGCAAATATCGGCATGCAACATAGTGCGGTATCTTTGTCAATTAATTTTATTTTTTTAATAAATATTATCTAAAAAAAAAGACTTATTCTCCATTTTCCTCAATGGAAGGACTTTACAAGCAAATTTTATTGTTCCTTTTTTATGTATGAAACTTAAGCAAAATTTTCTTTTTGCTCTTTAATAAAAAAGAAAATTCTAAGAGCTACAGTAGTCTTTATATGTGTCTACCCTGTCACATTTGACTGAAGTATTTAAACAGAGAGCAGGTTTTTTTATAATGCTTCTCTTATCTATAGCACTTGTCATAAGTTTCTCAAAGATCTTTCTTTGCCTAATTAAAAAGTCTTGCAGCTGAACTCCCAAAGTATATTGCACCCATTTTACATGTGGTAAAAAGTCAGGCACAAAGGGCATTTTTTACATGTGCTGTGAGGGAGGCACTTCAATTTGAAGCGCCACAGCATCTCGTGTATCAGCGTCCCCACACTTCAGAATGGCAGCGGGGGCACTTGAACTAAAACTCATTCGCCACTTTGAACTGCAGGGACATGGATACACAAGATGCGGAGGCTGACGGGAACACAGTAATGACTACACTCCAGCAGACTCGATTTAATCAAGTTGGCTCCGACACGCTGCAATTACAAAGTGTTGGAACAGCAAGGATGTCTACAGGCACCCAAAGAAACTAAGGGCTGGAACCAGCAAAGAACTTAAGCACCTAAACGTTACATGCTGCCATGCCTTACTTAAGTGCTTGGTGCCCAAAGTTTTTGAACCCGAAAGCTTGCTTAATAAATATTCTCCAACTATTTGGGTTGGTCTAATAAAAGATATCAAATTCACCCAAGGAACCTTGTCTGCCTGGTGCCCAAAGTGGAATTCAAAATCTTGAGTGAAGCACCTTGATCTCGTGCACAGTGTAGAAGGAGAGCTCCCTCAGCTGGACTCTGAAGCCCCAAGTACACTGAGCATGAAGCTGTCTAGAGCTAGTCAGTAGGAAACATTGCAGATAAAGGTATGTCTAAAATCTAGCCCCTCGCTGAGAGTTAAATGCCTCACTCAAGACTGCTAGAAAGTGGCTGTTTCCATTTGCAGTCCACAGCCTGAAACCATCTCCTAGGTGCTTAGCTTGTTCTGTGAAAGAATTGGGCAGAGCTCACTTTTTTCTCTTTAAACGTGGCTGAAGGAAGACCTAGTGCCCACCGTTTTTTAACAGTGTAATGTACTTGTTCTTAAACTCTGGTCCTCAGGCCACCCTAAAAGGTGTGTGGATCAGACTGGTACCACACCCCCTTTTCAATTAAAAGTTCAATTAAGGGCAGCTGGTGGAGTGTGGGAACCATTTATCCATTGGTTACATGTATTGCCTAGGAAGTGGGATGGATAGCTAGATTCAATTCACTCTTCAGCTTGAGGGTGTTCAAGCTCACATCTAATCTCCCAAGAGTCCTTGAGCCACCCAGCTTTCTGCTGTTGTGGGTGAGAATACTCTCCATCCCTCATGTTGCATTCTTTGCTGCACAGTCATATAGCTTCAAGATCTGCTGGATCAGTGAAAATGCCCCAAGGGGGATTGTGACTGTATAGCCAGTGGTTGGTTCACTTACCTGAGCGAGAGGAGCCCTGGGTTCTTCTCCCTGCTCCAGAGGTAACAGAAATGGCTCTGGAAGCAGAGATCATAACCTAGCGCTTCCCTACCTTCGGTGACTGCTCTAACATCTAGGCCTCTGGCCCAATTAATTTTGAATTGCTTTCTGTCTGGTAGTCCAGCTTCAGCACCCCAACTAGTCAAGTGTCTGGTGGTTGTGGACATCTCATGGGATAGAAATACCAAGCTGAAGAATTTGAATGTGGTCATTCCAGTTGCAAAACATGCTGAGCTCTAGGCATTATACACAGTGCACTGCTGCTTTGCTTTAATAAAAAAATCAAGCGCACTGTTTCACTTTAGGATTCTGAGGCTCTGCATGTTACAGGTATGCTGGACATGCCTAGTAGATGGAGCCTCTGAAGGACCTGGGCAAGAAATGCCTTAGTTCTGAATCCTGATTGGGGTTGGACATGAAGCTCCCCACTCTCACCAAGGCTGGGGCTGTTTTACCATGGTGCAAAAATGAAGCTAGATGCCTAGGAAATTTTCAAAAAAATAAAAATAAAAAATCAAAGCATTTTTAATGGAGTTTAGGCACCTCCAGCATTAAACGCCAGAATGAGAGGGCTTTCAGGACCAGTTTTGGACTGAGTTGCCTCAAATTACATCCTTTTTTAATCTATCCCTTAATAACTTCCCAGTAGTTTTGATGGGGTCAGTAATAGTCTGGATTTTTCAATTCTATACTTTAACTGGGTCTCACTGAGATACTAGAAGCTACACAGTCTATCAAGCTGTACAGGCAAAATCATGGTGCCAAATATTTCTCCTAAAATGCCATTCATTACATCTTTTGCCATATGCTTGTTTTGTTACTGGTTATATGATAGTCTAAGGGTATATGTGCTGATGCAGAGTTCTAGGGCAGGCCCAGAATTGAACCTGTTGTAATCAGTATTAATTGAACTTTTTGTGAGCACATAAGCTAATTGCAACAGGAGCGTATTCTGCCTTTTAACTTCTAAAATAAAAAAGCAAAACTTAGGCCAGGCACAGCTGTATTAGCCTGTAAAATGACCTCATCAATCATAGATGTGCCAATTCATATGGTCAGCTGCTTACTGGCTACAGTCCTGATGTGTTAAAATTCCTTTTGCCTTGGGAATATGCTGGTCTACAGAACTCCTGTTGCAAGCCAAGGGAACTTCTATGGGACCAGAGGAATTGTATGTTTCTACAGTCTTGATTCCTTGTTTCTATGCAACTTGTGTAGCCATTCACACTAGTGTGACAAGATACAGAATGCCACCAAATGACTCAACAGAGCACGAGGCAGGAAAATCAAGTCCCCACCAATCTGCAAGGGAGCTAAGAGCTAGTTATTCCTCTACTGCTGTTGCCAGTCTGATCCCAGGGGATACAAGTGATGTGAAGAATGCAGTAATGTGCCATGAGTGAGGCCTGGGAAGGAGCAGGGCCAAGCACTCACTTTGGAAATGCATCTAAATTGAAGGCAGCTTATGCTCAGGGAATGTTATAAGATGATGCATTTTACCCCGAGCCTTTCATTTAACCTACTGGGAAGATGTTTTCATCTCTGTCCTGATAACACTTCACTCTTCCCAGGTGGTAGTGTTTGCTCCCTGCTCTTTAGAAGTGTTTCTCCTGTAATCTATGCCATGTAAAGCACACCCAGTTACTATGGTAATATATAAATGCCTGTAATAAATAATGGAATAAATAAACTCTACCCCCTTGCACTTATACAGTATGATACAGTCTTATTTATGCTACAGGTTATCTTAGATATATGTATGGACATAAGACCATACAATTAAATGCAAAAGTGACTGGGATGAGCATGGGCATTATATTTCATGTGTCCAAAGAGACATCAAGTTGTGCATTCAACTCAAAAAACTTCCCTGTTTCTGTATTAACGAGCTACTGGAGGGGCTGTCACAGCAAGAGTCTACTGAACTTCCTGGAGCACCAGACAATGAGTACAAAACTCTCTCTTGAGAACAACACGTAACCTGTACCTCATTGAGCTAGCTTTCCCTCAGAAGCCACAGAGATGATGAGAAAATTTCCTGTGTGTGGGTGACAGAGGGAAACTGAGATGGGAGGTAGGGTAAATGTATAAAAAAATGCAATGACAAGCTGTAAAACACAGACACTGAGCTACTTCCATGGTCCCCACCACTCTGAATGTATGCAGATGATGTTTGGCTGTGGTGCCACAGGTTACCTTGCTTTTCATTTAAAACAGAAATTCAACACTTGCCTTACACTGTGTTCCTATGCATGTCCCACTCCTCTGTCCTAGGCCAATATTATTACACACATTGTAACAGGCATCTTTGTGGGTTTATAAGTAAATGCTCGTTTGAATTTAAAAAAAAGAAAGATAAGAGAAAGTCCTTTAAGAAATGAAAGCTAGTTTCAGACCTTTTTCCTCGGTCAACAATTCAGCAAACCAGGTAACAATGTTCGTGCTCGCTGTAATCAAGTCTGCTGGTTGTTCCTCATTGTCTTTATGGCTTTCAAAACAGGTGAAGAATGGCTTTTGACGGCTTATGGACATGGCTGAAAACGACATGTGATGGCCCTTTTGAAAAAGGCACTTTTTTGTTGTGGGTTTGCCTGAAGGGGAAAATTCTGTGGTCCGATTTTGAACAAAAATGTTCTAACAAAAATGTAATGCAAAACTCTAGAAATCTTAGTTCAGAGATGATACCTTTATTAGACCAACTAAGAAGTCACCAAAAAATTACCTTTTTCTGCAAGCTTTTGGGCGCACACGCCCTTCCTCAGGCTCAGGGAAAATGGTAGAAAGTCCCCATCGGTAGAAAATAAACCTCATTTTTGCATAGAGGAAGCTGAAGGTGGAAGTCTGTTTCTATGGGTCCAGGAGAGTGTCTTTGTGAATTGCTCTTTGATGTACAGGTAAGGCAGGAGTCCTGCCCTGGTGGTGTCAGATGGCAGGGAGGTGTAGAAATCTTTCTTGTTGTTCAGCAATGAAGTTTAAATCCCAAATCAGCATCCTCTGTACAAAAATGAAGTTTATTTTCCAGCTATGGGGACTTTTTACCATCCTGAATTTTCCATGAGCCTGAGGACAGGCATGTGTGCCCAAAAGCTTGCAGAAAAAGATATATATTTTTTGCAATTTCTTAGTTGGTCTAATAAAAGGTATCATCTCTGAACCAAGAGTTCTGGAGTTTTGCATGTTTTTTGTCTCAGACCAACACAGCTACCAAATACATCCCTAACAAAAATGTATTTTTCCAGTGAATTTTCTCAAAATTGAAATCTACTGGTGTGAATTCTGTTAGAAAGCTTTAATTTTTTTGTTTATAGGTTCACACACTTATAACATGCTGCCCTTCACCTGTAGTTTGTATCTAGGGCTTACAACTTACATAAATCCAAGATAAATTTCTTCTACATCCAACTGAATGGGAACTGGGCATAAAGGCATTTAGACTAGAAATCAGAGAAAAGTTACCGAGGATTCGGCTTCTGGCACAAATTTCCTATGGGAGTAAGAAGTGCAAAAAAGCTCAAATGATTTTAAGATGAAAATCAGTAATTTTCTCAATAATATTACAATGCCAATGATAACAGGGGACTGGACTTAAGGACTGGAAGGAAACTATTCCATTCTTATGTTCTTACCCTCAGCAGTGTTCACAGGCCGAATCGCTTAACTTTACATTTTTGGGGACAGGGATGGGCATTTTCTTTTGCATTGGTGTCCTGGTCTGTGATGGGACTCTAGTAATAACAAATCGTAGCTTCAGCAATGTTTCAAGAACATATCTTGGACATCTCTAGAACGTAAATGTAGCAACGACTTCATGCATCAGTGTGTAAGCTTTCAGCAACTTTTTGTAAAA